GAAGGGAAAGACAGAAGAAGGGAAAGACAGAAGAAGGGAAAGACAGAAGGAGGCAAAACATACCGCTCGCCAAAGGCCAGGGCCTGCTCATGCGTGGTGCAGATGATGGAGCTAGGGTCCGAGTGAATGATGGCCCGGTGGAAGAGCCCAGCCGAGCCGCTGGAGGTCATGTGCACGGAGACCGACCGGCCACCGGCCGACTGACCGAAGAGGGTGACATTGTTGGGGTCGCCGCCGAAGGCCGCGATGTTGCGCTGGACCCACCGCAGGGCATCACGCTGATCCTCGATACCGATGTTGTTGACGGCACCACCATCCAGGGCGTCGGCCACCAGGAAGCCCATGACACCGAGACGGTATTGCACGGTCACAACAATGGCGTGGGCCGCCTCGGCCAGGAACATGCCATCATACAGGGTGTTCGCGGCGCCAGTCAGGAAGTTACCACCATGGAAGTACACCATCACCGGCAGGGTGCTGTTGGTCTGGTCGACAGGCGGGGTGTAAACATCTGGGCGCGGAGAGCGACCAAGGAGGAGAGGCCGTCAGAGCTTGGAAACCAACCAGGACGCGGTGGCGCAGCTGGTCGAGGGGGCGGGGGAAATGGTGAAGCACCAATGCGCATATGACGCACTGAGGAACAGGCAATCCTCGCTAATCTGGAAGGGGCAGGTGTGGAGGGGGAGAGTGACACCATCCTCGCAGATCTGCGGGCAAGCGGCGCGGTAGTCGCGCGCGAAGTAGGGAACAGAGCTGCCGAAAGGGGGCCCAAGCGAGGACAGGCGGGGGAGTCGAGGGAGGGCGGTTAGGGGGATGCCATCCAGTCATCAAGGGCCAGGAGTGGCTGGGCAAATGAGGGAGGCGGGAAAGACGCACCCCCAGGGCTTGGCAGGGCGGGCGGGCTTCCAGCGGCCCTCCTTGCCGACGGGCGGCATAGCGTAGGGGATCTTTCCGGGCGCACGCGCGCGCGCGAGAGAGGGAGAGAGAGAGAGAGAGAGAGGCGGAAGGGGAAAGAGAAAGGGCGAGGGAGGAGGTGAGCCGGCGTGACCCGAGGATAAACAGCAAAAGATGATGGCGGTGCAGGACGCACACCACGGAAGGTACGGCCATACTCGTTGGTGAGACCAACAATGCTGTTTACGGCGGGGGAAGGGGAGGGGGCAAGAGAACGGCAAGTCAGAACGTCAGCAAGGCGAAGCATACAGTATCGTGCAGTGAGGAGGCCCTCGAAGGGAAGGGCGAGAAAGGGAGAGGGGGAGGAGGAAGGAAAAAGAAAAAACAACATACGGGCCGGTCTCAATCAGGACCTGGTCGGTGCCGAAGTCGGGCCCGGCATAGGTGCCGGCCGTGGCGGTCGCGGTCGAGGCGCTGCCGTAGGAGAACAGCATCACCAGGAGCGCCAGCGCCAGCGCCAGCGGCTGGAAGGACGAGGAGCGCATGGTGCGTCGATGGCGAAGGAGGGAGGAGGGAGCGACGAGCAGCAGAAGATGACGCGGGCAGCAGGAGGGAGCGCAGGACAGAGCGGGTGGGGGGGGGGGGGGGGCGACAATTGAGTGGGTGTGGAGCCGGCCGATCTTTTGGCGGGGGTGTGGTCTCGGAAAAAGGCCTCACCCTCCGGGGGGGGGGGTTCAGCCCGGGCCATTCACCCCCCGCCCAAACACCCGGCCTCCCGGCGGGGCCATAATGCCGAGGCCCCTCGGGTCCTCGGTGCTCCGCGCCCACGCGCCGGTGGTGGGGGGCGAGGCCCGGGCGGCCGGGGCAGGGGGCAGGATGAACGGAAGGGGCCATCTGCAAGGTCCCATTCATGTGACCCCACCGAGCACGGAAACTGGCCCTGGCCAACCGTGCTCGCCTGGGAGGGGAGGGGGGGGGGAGCCGGCCAGGGGGGCATGAGAGGGGTTTCGACATGGGCGCCCCCCTCCGCCCGGCCAGGCCGACCTGAAGAAGGGGTGGGAACGCATACTTCGGGCAAGACTCATGTCCCCAGAGAACAGCCAGCTATGTGTTTTTTTTTTCCCCCGCCCTCTCCTCCTCCGTTGGGCCACGGGCCGGACCATGCAGGGGCGCCAGCCCAGCCGGATGATATCCCCTCCCCCCCCCCCCCCCCCGGGCCCATGCATGCATGCGGGCAACAACAATAACAACAATAACAACCGCCAGGGGACGCCCGCCCAGCCACGCGCACAGGCATTTGCATGCTCCCTTTAGGCCTCCACATCTCGAGGTGCGGCAACTCGCCTCGGACACAGCGCAGGCATATGCCCAATCACACGGCGCCAAGATGACGGAAACAACATGCCGGCTGGCGTGCCGCGGGGATTTTGTCATTCCCCGCCACCGGCCTTGCCGCATCCTCCACCGACCGTTGGCCAACGCATGTGGGGCCTTTCTCAACCTCACAAAGAGCGAGGAGAGGGAAACAGAGAGATAGGGAGAGAGAGAGAGAGAGACAGACACACACACTCGGTGGTCGTGTCCACGAGACGACAGGGCGCACCCCCATACATGAAACTACCCACACGCAGGCAAGAAAGACCGAGGCGCAGGAAAAACTGTCCCCCCCCCCCCCCCCGTGGTCAGGGGAATGGGCACTTCCCAGTTGGTTGATAAACAACCGACACTGGGCCGCGCGCCAGGTCCGGCACGCTGCCGCCCGCGCCGCCTCCCCTCCGCCTGGCCCCCGAAACGCGGACCGCCACCAAAAGCCGGCGCCGAGGCAGCCGTTCGCCCTCAGACGCTAACTTTACGGGGAGCGTTAATTCGGCCTTTGTAATTGATATATGATGTGTGTTAATCGTGGTTTGGGGAATGGGTGTATTCTAATCCAGCTAATGGGAACGGCATCGAAGGAGGCCCCACTGGTCTGAGCGCATGATGGCCTTGCCAGGAAGGGGGAAGGAAGAGCCCTCCCCCATCGCCGATGGAGGTGAGGCTGGCCGGCCGGGGGGGGGGGGGGGGGGGGGATGGGCCACCGCCACCAGGCCTGGCGGCCAGTGCTTGCCTGTGCGCATGCGCTCCTGGACACATTACCGCGGGATGGCACAGGTGTCCGTTTCGCAAAAGAGGTCCGGCATTTGCTCGAGGAAGGCATGGTCATCGCCGCCGGTGGCATCTCTCGGCCTGGGAGTGGCGGCGCCGGCGGCGGGCGGATTGTTGGCAGCATGCTGTGCGGCTAGCGGCACGGCCGGGGCATCCTCCCCCCCGAGGGTCGTGGCCACCAGACGCTCCGAGGGGGAAACCCCCCCGACACCGGCCAGGCCTGGCACCCCGCGCGGGATGTCGATCGGCCGGATCCGGGCCACCCGGCTTTGATACTCCTCGGGCGAGATGCGCTCGTACGGCATCTGCGGGTAGGCCCCGGCGTCGATGCGCGGCAGGAAGCTAATGCCCTTCAGCTGGTACTGGTAGTAGTTCAGGGCAAAGGGGATTTGCGCCCGCTCACTGGGGGCCACGGTCACCGTACAGCTAACCTGATTGTCGGCCCAGTGCCGCTGAAGGAAGGCCGCCAAGGCCAACTGCTCCCACATCGTCACGTCGTCCAGCGACCGCATGATGGTGCTCGGCTGCTCGTGCTGCGGCGGCGGCGGCGGCGGCTGCTGCTCCTGCGGCTGGTTCCCCGGCACATTGGCCGGCATGCCAACCGACCCCATGTCAACCGGGAACTCCACGACGCAGGTGGATCCCGGAGCCTCGACGGCCGGCTCCACCGGGTAGCCGGCCCGCATCAGTGCCAGCACCAAGTCCGAAGGAGGCGGCGCGGCGGGATCGCGGTTGGGCGTGTCCAGTGGCGGTCCAGACGGGATGCGCACCCGCCGGATGCAGTACCGCGACTCGGGGTAGTGAAGACCGGGAGTGGCTGAGACGGAGGTAAGGTAGGGTGGATATTGGGGAATCGCGAGATTAGCAACAGAGAGAGAGAGAGGGGGGGGGGAGGGAGGGAGGGAGAGAGAGAGAGAGAAGGAGAAAGAGAGAGGGAGAGAAAGAAAGAGAGAGGGAGAGAAAGAAAGAGAGAGGGAGAGAGAGAGAGAGAAGGAGAGAAGGAGAAAGAGAGAGGGAGAGAGAGAGAGAGAGAGAAGGAGAGAAGGAGAAAGAGTTACGCACCACCAGCCAGCAGAGAAACCGTGCCGCTGGGCTTGATGGACGTCAGCTTGATGGACTTGCGGATGGCGAAACGCTCGGAAAAGCTGTCGACCGGCAGGAGACAGATGAAGAAAGGAGAGTTAGAGAGGAGAGAGGAGCAAGACTTCAGGCATGCGGAGTGGAACGCCTGAGAAGAGGACTAGACAGAGGAACGAGGCACGCACAGCTCATCATATTTCTTGACCGCCGCATAACCCTCGTCACACCAGACGCGCAGAGCCTCAAGACCTGAGATGGGCAGACGGCGTGCGTGGATGTGTATGTATGAGTGTAGGTTGGGTTTTTTTTGGGGGGGGGGGGTGCGTTCGTGCGCGTGCATGTGCGTGAGAAAGGGAGGGGGGGAAAGGAAAGAAGAAGAGAATGGCAGCCAGTGTACGCGGCGAAACCGGCCAAAGCGGCCGGCATAAACGACCAGCAAAAGCGACCAGCAAAAGGCGGCAGGATCTAAACGCACCCTGGGACTCGACAAGCTGCGCGATGCCGCTCATGGAGCAGCCCACACGCCGGTTGCGAAGCATGGCCCGGTTGGTGGCCGGCCAGTGCGTGTTGGCCAGGGTCACGGTCTTGGCATAGAGCATCGCACTACGCAGAGTGCGTTCGACGAACAGACGCCGGGGGGCATCCCCGGCGCCGCCGCCAGCGGCCGACCCGATGCTCTGGCCGCCCAGGTGCCGGAAGGGGAATGTCTCCACCAGGCAACACAGCTCAAAGGACTCGAGGGTCTGCTCGAGACAGGGATTGGCCCCGGCCGCCCGGATGTCAGCCCAATCCGCCGGGTCCACCAGGCGACCAAACTCACGGGCGGTGTCCAGGAAGAAGAGCCCGGGCTCGCCGTTTTCCGCCAAATGCCGAATGACCCGCGGGCCGTCGATGGCCGCCAGCTGGCCCAAATGCGCGGTGTTCTCATCCCCCGGGGCCGGGGCGCGGCCAGGCAAGCCGGCACTCGGGCGCCAGGGATACTCCAAGCGCCGGGAGTAGTCCACCCCGACCGGCGCCACCACCGAGTTGTTGGATGTCCAGCCGAAGGCCATGCGGTGCGAGTTGTCAGTGAGGGGGGCCTCCCCCGGGCCGGGGCTTCCATCGGGGCCTTCCCCCTCGGCCGAGGGGGCATACTGCTTGAGAGCCGCATAGGCCGGGTCATGCGGCGATCCGAGGGCCAACTCGGCCGTCGCTCGGACGCCCCCGGAGACAATGCACTTGCCAATGATATTCATGATGTCCACCACGGTGGTGGAGGTCATCCGGCCGACCGCCGGCCGAGTGGAGGCATGGCGATCGTCGACCGGGTGCGAAGCCCCCGGCTCCAGGGGAATCCCACGCCACTCGGTGCCGGCCGCCGCGGCCGACAAAATGCCCCGAAGCTCGGCGTGCAGGCGCCGCAGCGGATCCGGCCCGAGGGCCTTCCCCCCGAAGCCCCGCACCGGCGCCCCGGCCGGGCGGATGTCCCCATAGTCGAAGCGCACCGCCGGCGATCCCGGGATCAGGTACGAGTCCACCAGCAGGGCCACCGACTCGACCCAGCCCAGGCGCGAGTCCGGCACCCGGAAGAGGAAAGTCTCTCCCGGGGCCTCGGCCTGGGGGGAGGCAACGTTGTGGGTGTCGGAGCCAGCCACGGCGCGGCCTTGGCGGCGCTCCGGATCGAAGACCGCCACCAGCCGGTCGGTCGCCCGGTGAGCTTCGGTGGCCGGGGTGTCAGGAGTGCCGGCCGGCGGGGCGGGATACGCGGCGGCCGTGTCAAACCCGATGCCCACGCCGAGCATGGCCCCGTCCATCAGGAAGGAGAATGGGCGCGAGGGCCGGGTTTCGGATCCGGCATCGGCCAGCAAGTCGCCCATGGACCGGGGCCCACGCCGCCAGGCCGGCTGCCAGGGAGAGGACCCGGCGCCGGGGACCGGCGCTCGCGCGACCAGGCCATCGGCGTCGGTCTCCCCCGAGGCATCGGCCCACGGCGCCGGGACCGTCCAACAATGGTCCAGCAGGGACCGCGTCGAGACGAACCCACAATTGAAGAGAGCCGCTTGGGCATCGGCGCGCCGGGCCGGGTTCTCTGTCAGCTCGGACCCCATGGCCCAGAGCCCACGACCGGGCGGGAGAAAGCGCATGTGGAACATGGCGTCATACATTTCCGTGGCCTCGGCCAGGGCCTGGGGTCGCGGAGCCGCGACAGGGAGCCAAAAGCGCCGGCATGAACAGAGAGACAGGGGGGGGGGGGACAAAGAAAAAAAGAGGACGAAGGAGGACCGAGAGGTTAGCATGCGGAACAGGGGCCAGCGGGCGCCATGGCTTGGGAGGGACACTCCCGGGGGGGGGGGGGGGGAAGGAAGCCCGACGCCCGACGCACCTGGGACTCATCCCAGCCAATGTGATGCGCACGGCACCAGCGCTCCTGCATGCGGAAGGTGCCGGTCACCACGCGAGCAACGGTCTCCCACCATTGCTCATACTGACCGACACCGGCGTCGGGATTGTCCCCGCCCTCGACCTCGCCGTACAGGCAGACCGCCAGCGAGTCGGGCGTCTTCACCCGGGAGTAGGTCCGATGGAAAACCACATGCCCGAGCCCATTGAAGCCAAAGGGCACCGGCCGGCCGGCATATGTCCGGAGAAAGTCCACCGGCAGGCGGAAGGATGCCAAGCCGTCGAAGTACGACGGCTCGCGTAGGGACCCGGCAGGCGGCGGGACCGCGGCCGTGGCGGCGCCGGCACAGGCGGTGGTGGAAAACATGGCACGCTGCCAAGAGGCACCGGGGCCCTGGTGGAGGTACAGCGCCGAAAGTGGGGCTCCGCCAATCGAACCACCCACCGGACCAGGGCCCGGAGTGCGAGCAGTCAACGTCTCGGCCGGACCCGAAGGGGAAAACAACTGCCGGATGGCAAGATGCGGGGCACGCCGGGCGGCGCTGATGGCGGCGCTCCGCGTGGAAAGGGGGCCGGCCAGGGCGCGTCCCAACATGCGAGTGGAGAGAGAAAACAAATGGAGAAACACGGAGGGGAAGGAGGAGGAGGAGGAAGGCAAGGCAACGCAGGGGCGTGTTTCCGGCGGGGGGAGAAGAGCGGGGGGAGGAGCGGGGGGAAGATGTCGGCGCGATCTCGCGCCGCCAGAGGTCCCCTGGGCTGGCAAAAAATCCACCGCCCCACATGCCCTCCCCCCCCCCCCCCTCCCACCCCCCCCCCCCCCCCCCCCCCCCCCCCCCCCCCCCCCCCCCCCCCACCCCCCCACCAGCCACCCACCAACAAACAACAGGGACCCCCCCCCCCCCCCCATGGAGACTCGGAGGGGCCGAGCGAGGGACGGGGGTAGGTGCACGGCTGCCCGCCTCACCAGTCGCGCCACCAGCAGGCCGATCAGCTCCTCCAGCGTCAGAGATGTCACGTGAGAATGGCACGGTCAGATCGCCTATCGCCCCTCGTCATCACTGCGGCTGCCGCGCGAAGTTTGCCGGAGACAAGAGCGCCCCTGTGGCGCGGGGTGGGGGAGAGCCGCCCTGCTGTGCTCTCCCCCCTCCTGTGTATTTGCCCCCCCGCCTTTGCCCTCGCCTCCTCCACCCCATGCTGCCCTCCGCCTTGGTATGTCTCCCCCTCGCTCCCTCTCTCTCTACCTCACTGCCACTCCCTGCGGCCTCCGGTGTCCGGGCGCGTGCCTGTGTATTTTTTGGTGGGATTCCCTCTCGTCCTGTGGCGCACAAGCGCCCCTCCGGCCGCACATAGGCAACCATTGCGGCACGAAGAAGGGAGCAGGGGGGGGGGGGGGGGACAGCCTCCTAGCTAAGGGCCCATCGGGAAACAGGGGCAACGGGCGTCACAAAGCATGCTCGGCTACTGCGCGGGCTGCTGCTCGTGCTCCATTTCCTGCTCGGACTGCTCGTCGATGTCCTCGCCAGGGGCCTCGCGCATGCGGACACGCGCGCGTGCCATCGGACCCCAGCCGGCCGGCAGAACAGCAAAGCGGGTGAGCCCCACCCGACGCGAGTGCGGCTCCGCCTCCGGATGCAGGTCGAAGTTGACCGGGCGCCAGGGCTCGGCCAGCTGCGCCTCCAACCGGCTAACCAGCCCCTGGGAGTCGTCCATGTGGAAGCGCGCCAGGCGGGCCTTCTCCGCGCGGAGGGCCTCCTCCAGCCGGGCACGGTACTCCTGCTCCTCCTCCTCCTCGGTGGGAACACGCTCGGTCTCGATGGCAGTGGCCCGCGAGGACACCGAGCTGACAGCCTGGCCGGCCTCCTGGCGCTCGGCCAGGCGGGCCAGCTTCTGGGCCCGGGCCTCGGCCGCCTGCTCATTGGCCAGGGCCGCCTTGGCCACCGCCTCCTGGTCGATGCGTGCCATGAGCAGCGCGCGCGTGGGCTTCCCGCGGCTGGCCTTCGAGAAGCGCACCTTGTAATGGTGCCGGGCCCAGGCGCGCACCGTGCGCCAGATGAATTCCTGGGGAGCGTCGGTCTTGAGGGCATCGCGGGCCGCATGCGAGCCGGACACCCGGTACCCGGCATTCAGAAGGGCCGAGCTGTGGGGGAGAGGGGGGGGGGGGCAAATATGCAAGAGTGTCAGAAGAAGGCACATCCGACGGGAGACACGAAGAGGGGGGAGGGACTCCATGGACACAGGGAGAATGACCAGGACACGGAGGGGGGGGGGGGGGGGGCCACCCCCAGAATGCGAGAAGGAGAATGGGGGCCACGTACCGGGCCAGAGTCATCGGCAAGCCAGATACGCTGACCGTGCCGAGGATGTCCGAGAGAGTGTAGTACAGGGGCACGTCGGGCAGCTCCTCGAGGGCCATGTTCAGCATGCCGATGATGCGCTCGCGCGTGCGCAGCGGCTTGGCAAAGGAGGTGATCGGGAGCTCGGGCTCCGGAGTCGAGGGGGTGCCGGTGCCGGCATCGGTCGCCGCATTGGCCTGAGCAGCCGCCGGGGCATCGGTGGCGTCTGGCACTGGCTCGACGTAGGGGGGCGTGGCCTCCACGATGGCCAGCATGGCGTGGATGAAATCCTGATTGTGCAGGGGACCGGTCCAAATCGGGCCGCCGACCTGAGGTGGAGCGCCGGGTCGCCGGGAGCAAGGGCAAGCAGGGACAGGCCGGGCGTGCGAGAAGAGACGGAGGAAAGGGTACTCGGTCAGTCACAAGCACCACACGTAAAGAGACAGGAGGAGGGTGGCAACGGGGAAGCAGCGAAGCAGGGCAGAGACAAGGAACGCACATGCGCCGGGCGCCCGCAGGACTCGCAGAAGGACTGGTCGCCGGTCGGCGGCCGGGCGGCACCATAGCGCACGACCTGGCCGTGCTTGTTGGACAGCGGCCGAGCGTTCGGGGCCGTATGGAAGCTAGGGCAGGCAGAGCACTGGTAGATGGAAGAGGAGTTCCTGTGTGTGGGGGGGGGGATGCGCATAGGTGTGTGGGGGTGAGGAGAAAAGAGGGGAAGGAAAGGAATGGATAGAGAGGTAGATAGAGAGAGAGAGAGAGAGGGGGGAGGGAGAGGGGGAGAGAGGGAGAGAAAGAGAGAGGCGGATTGGCATCAGGTCGGACACAGGCACCAGCCAGGGGCACAAGCACAAGAAGAAGCAGGGCGCAAGGGGAGAAGACGAAATGCCCCTCGCGGAGGGACGCACTGTGCAACCAGCTTCACCTCGGAGGCGCTACGGAAGACGCGGATGAAGACACGGATGTAGAAGTCGATGCTCAGGGACACCAGCGGCACGATGTACCGGCGATGCTTGGCCGCATAGGCGCTCAGCGAGTCCAGCAGGATGCGCAAGGCCAGCTCATGGCAATACCGGCCATTAACCGGCATGGTGCCGTACTTGCTGTAGCAAGAGTCCGGATTGGAGCCAGCCAGCACGGCCATATCCGTGCAAGTGACCAGCATCATGCCACCCGACTCGATGGCCCCCATGGCCGCGTCCAGGAAGGGGATGGCTGTGCCATAGGGATCCAGATCGACGATGGTGAAGCCATCACTGGCATGCTTCTGCATGACGACACTGCGCAGGAGGGGCAGAGGGAGGGAGAGAGAGAGAGAGGGAGAGAGAGAGAGAGAGAGGGGGGGAGAGAGGGACAGAGGGACAGAGGGAGAGAGGGAGAGAGGGAGAGAGAGGGAGAGAGAGAGAGAGAGAGAGAGAGAGAGAGGGTGGCAGGGTAAGCTTCGGAGGGCAGGAAGAACACAAAACATAGCCCACTTCAGATGGGGTCTGTTTGCGCATGAAACATGGCGAGAGAGGAAGAAAGAGAGAGGGGCAAGCGGGAAACGGAGGCGCACTTCGCGTCGCCCAGGTTCGAGGACACCAGATGCTCGACGCGGTTGTGCGCGATGTTCCGATCAATGGAGAGGACCGCATCGCGGGAGAGGTCGTTGGCCACGATGCGCGTGAGCCCGGGGATTTCGCGCGCATATCGGGCAGCCCGCAGGCCACTGGCACTCAGGGCCTCGAGCACGGTGACCGGGCCCTCGCCGCCGGCGACTAGCCCCTCGAGGGCGGCCAGCCGCCCGGCCTGGCCCGACTCCGGCGCCACCTCGGCCAGGGTTTGGGTAATGCGCTTCAGGCGGTCGGCCTGTGCCGGCAGGACGTCCGCCATCAGGCCGGCACCGCACTTGGCCTGGTCGCGCTCCTCCATCCGGCGCAGGGCCACAAAAGTCCGGATGGCCGAGATGGAGATATCCCGGTTGATGACCTGCGCCGGGTTGTAGAACACCTCGGCCGCCGTGGGGAAAAGAACCGTGGCCGACCCCTCGGTGATGGGGACCAGCTCGGCCGCCGGGGTGATGTAGTCCCCGATGGCAGGGGACGGTGTCGGAGGGCTGGCAGAAGACGCGGCGTCCATGGCAGGGATGGAAGCACGCGGGCGGCGCACAGAGGAAAGCGGGGCCGATGAAGAGAAAAACCGCTGGGGGGACACCGGAGACGAGGCGCCGGCAGGGAGGGGGGTGGCGGTGGCGACGGCGGCGACAGCGGCAGCGGCGGACGGCCGGGAAAAGGCAAGGGCGAGGGCGGGCGAGAGGCAAGTGGAGGACGAGGAACGAGCGACACGGAGAAGTGCAACACGGAGGAACATGTGCGGGAGCGCGCGGCGGGAGGGACAAGCAGCGGGTGCGAGGAGGAGAGGGGGAGGGGGGACGGAGGGCGATCTGGCGCTCGGCCCGCGGCCGCCTCCCCGGCTGACATGAAGCCGGAAAAATGCCTACCGCACAGGCCGCGCCTCGGCCCCGACCCGCACCTCTGGGAGAGGGTCTCCACCTTGCGCCGCCCCCCCTGCCCTGAAGCGCACGAGAGTCGACCCGGGGAGAGCATGGAAAAATGGGGAGGCCAGCCAAGATCCTACTGCCTGGCGTCGGGCCTCCCCCGAGGCCAGGGTCGCGCAGGTCGGACAGCACAACGCGCGGCCGGCTGCCAACCCATTGACAGAAGGGAGAGTCGGAGCCACGTGCGTCGGCGCGCCCAGCCGAGAATGCCATACGCCACAAGGGCAGCACCAACGGATAGGATATGCCGCGAGAGGCGCGCGCGCTCGCTCCCGGGACCGGGGGGGGACGCAGCAAGGAGCGGAAAAGGCAGTACACCGGGGGGGAGGGGGGGAAGGGGGGTGTATTTTCTCCCTCGCACAGGAGGAGGAGAGAAAGGAAACAACAGTGCGTGTGTGTGCGTGCGTGCGGGACACACGGCACGCGCTTTTCCTCTTGGTCGAGGGGGGGGCGCGCGCGCAGAGCGCGTGACAGGCACACGGGCGGCACACGCGCAGGGGAGAGGGATATGAAATAATGTACAGAGTATGTGTGTGTAGGGTTTTCAGCAAGGACAGGAGGGGGTGGGGGGGAGGCGCGGAGGCCGGACCGCACATGGGAGGGGGTGGGGGAGGCAGGGGAGTGGAGAGAAGGGAACAGAAGAAGCGCGGATAGCAGCGCAGGACAGGGGAAGAGAGAAGGGGGAGGGTGGTAGAGGAGAAAGGGGGTGCCTTCGCCTGGCCACGGGCGAATTGACTGGGGCGCGCGTGGCCGGGGAGGGGGGGCGGGTGTGGAAGGGGGAGAATGCTGCTCGCCGAGCTGCGACTCTCCAGCCCTTCTTTTCCTTGTGGGTCCGGCATATCATCCCCTTTGGGCCTCTCGCGCGTGCACATATGTGCGCGTCTGCCGGCGTCGGGTGGCAAAAGCGCGTGGAGGGCGCATCTGCCCATCACCGCCCGCCTCGCGCCGATGACCCACGCTCGCATCTGGGACGCGCGCGTCCTCCCCCATCTCTCTGGCCGGCCCCCTTCCCCCACATCGCCTTTTTTTTTGAGGGGGAGGGGCGCGCACGCACGCAGGCACGCACGCGCGGCCGAAGACGCGGCCAACTGCCTGCGCGCCGGTCGGCGGCCCCTCACACTCTCCCCCAGCCGGCACATTTTGCTTTAGAAGCGCATGGTCGGCCCGTCGAGCGCACGACCGCTGGATGAGGAAAAGAGCGACTGCACCATGGGCAGCAGCTCGCGACCGCCGTAGCGAGTGAAGAGCATGTACGACAGCTGGGCCCCCTTGTAGAAAATGTAACCGAAGACACCGAGCAGGCCAGACCCGATGGTCAGCAGCGACACGCGCTGGGCAAGGCGCGTCAGCCCGGGCCGGCCAGCGAAGAGGCTGAGCACGCCGCCGGTGGTGGCCGAGGCCACGGCTGCCAGGGACCCGGCCGGACGGCCTCCCCGGCGGGGATTCTGAATGCCCGGGATCAGGGTCCGGAAGATGATGGACGGGTCGAAGGCCGACGTGGAGTCCAGGATCAGCGGGCTGGCCAGGCGGAAGCGGCGGACCACCTCACGCACCCGGGCCTCGAAGGGGCATGGCCCGGTGGCCGGCTGCGGGGCCAGATTCACGCCGACCAGCACGATGTAGGCCTGGTCGCCGAGAGTGGGCAGGGCGCTGGCCAGGTACTCGAAGGACTCGCGATCATGCGTGTCATAGCAGAGGATGAAGGCGTCACCGGTGTTGTCCAGGTGGGCCAGCTGCTCGGGGGTCAGGCCCTCGAGCGGGTGCTGGCGGCCCCCCTCGGCCGGCCGCTCCAAATAGTGCAAGGCCAGGACCTTGTTGTTGAGGGGCTCCGGCGAGGGGGTCAGCTCGCGGCTACCGGCGGAGAAGGGCGCCGCCGAGGTGGAAATATAGGCGTCCGAGTGCATGGGCAGGCCGAGGTGCGCGCGGAACAGCGGCTGCGAGATGGTGTCCGACGAGGCCAGCACATAGGCCAGGAGGACATTCCGATCGTTGCGGCCGATGCTGGCATCGTCCTGACGCGAGCGAGTCTGCTGGAAGACCCGCTTGTGCGAGGGGGGAATCCCCAAGTAGGCCAGGTAGTTGCAGGCAGCCTCCAGGTCCACAGCCAACAGGGCACTATAGGAGGAGGGGTGGCGGGAGGGAGGGGAGGGAGAAGTGTGAGCGGGAGGGGGGTAGAGAGGGAGAGGGAGAGACCAAAAGGAGGAAGGGCAAGGGGGCAAAAGAGGGAGAGAGGGGGAATGTTGAGGCTGGTTAAAACCACTTGGCCACGGGAGAGGGACCAAGCAGGAGTCATCCAACCCAACTGGATCTGGCCGCGCTCCGTAACTGGCCACGGTCGCAGCGTGGAAAGAGAGAGGCGCAGGTGGTGAAAAGGTGGCCAGGGCCTGGAGGAACACATCTGCCGGATGCGCGGGCACGAGGCGCGAGGCGCGGAGCGCGAGCACGCGCATGTACACATGGACGCGGGAGACCCCCGCCCCGGTGCATCAGAGGGGCCAACGCCCCGGCCCCGGAGCCCTGCCTGCCGATTGCCCCCTCCCTTGGGACCCCGCCCATCATGTGCCCCACTCTCCACCACGCCGCCGTACATGCATGTAGGGCACGCCAAGAGCACGCACGCGCTCACACGCCTCCCGAGCAAGAAGCACGAAAGGGAGAACACACACATGCCTAAGAGCACCATACACGCACGCGGAGGCGAGGAGAAGAGCGAGAATGGGAAGGAAGAAAGGGGGAAACCAAACAAGAGGAGGGGAGAGGAGAAGGAGACTCCCCCCTGATGCGGGAGGGGGACCTCTCACACCCACATTGTGCACACGCGACGCACACACACGCCCATGCACGCGCCCCCGGCAAATGCGTACCCCATGCCCGGACCCCACCTGCTTGACTGCGACCGTGGTGCTGACGGCGTATGGAGAGAGAGAGGGGGGGGGGAGGAAAGGAGAGGAACAGAGGGGAGGGGAGACGCGCGTGCGGCGAGCTACGCGCAGACACATGCGCATGCTACACCACACACACGAAGGGAGAAAAGGACGCACGACCAGTAGGCCAGCCAGCCATACACCGACAGCCAGCCCTTCTCATTGGTGTTGACCGTGGAGGGCAGCAGGAAGTCTTGGAAAATCGGCCGCGGGGCCGTCTCAAACAGCTGGAGCAGCTCCTCCGGCGTCAGATACCCCTCCTGGGTGCGGGAAAACCGGTTGAACAGCCGGAGCAGGATGACCAGCGAGTCGCGGCTGAACTCGTAGGAGCACCCCTGCGACAGGGGGAAGAAGGGCCGCAAGTACTCCGGCGAGAAGTTGAACGAATGGTCGAAGCCAAACCCATTGAGGGCCATCCACACCAGATCATGGCGGGACCCCTGGCACAGGAGGTTGAACTTGTCCAACAAATCCGGCAACGACAGACGCTCCATATTGGACACATGGCCAATGGTCCACAGGGTCTGGAGGAAGACATTCGGCCCGAGCAGCTGGTCGTAGCACCGGCGCTGGAGCTCGGCCAGCTCATTGCGATTGAGGTACCCATCGTTGTCCAGGTCCGACAGGCGGAACATGGAAATCAGGGCCTGCCGCGCCTTGGGCTTAAACTCCCGAGTGTAGACATTGTACAACGGCGACAGCGGGTAGATGACCGACCGGGTGGCATGCTCGAAGACCGAGCTGACATTGAAGAGATTCAGCGCCGAGCAGGTGACCGACGACTCGATCAGCGAAAACTTCTCCATGATCTCCAGCACCTCGGTCTCGTAGTCGACCGAGCTGTCCAGCAGGTCCATCTTGGCGCAGACCAGGATCACCGGCAGGTCGTAGCTGGTGGCCAGCGGGATCCACCGGTTCCGGGCATTGGCCAGACTCTCCGGCACATCCGGGCTGAAAAGGACGCACGCCACGCTAGCCGCGCGAAGCTGGCTCTCGATGGCCGCCATGTCATTGGCGTTTGTGTCCACCAGGTAGGTGACCACATTGTTGGTGATCTGCGGGGTGAAGACAAACTCCGGGCAAACATCCTCAACCTGGTGAGGAAAGGGGGAAGCGCGAGAGGAGGGACGGGAGAGGCGCGGTGGTGTCAGAGGAGCGAAGGCGAAAGGGAGGAGGCGGAGAGAGAGAGAGAGGGAGAGAGAGCGCGAGAGAGGCGCTGTTCCGGGAGAGGGTGACACGTGGAGAGGCGGCCCCCTGTGCAGAGGAGCACAGGGAGAGAAATGCCTCGGCCAGTGCACGAGGCACCGGGCCACGCGCCGCGCCCTGCCGGATCCGGGAGGGCCCTCCGCCCGCCGGCCCCCTCGCCCCCTCCCCCCCCGTAAGAGGAGAGAGAGAGAGAGAGGGAGACCGAGGGCGGAAGAGACACCCGGACTGATCTTTCCCCCCTGTGAAACCTACGAGCGACTGTCTGAACATCCGCAGGCCAAAAAGAGGGAGTGTGGTGCGCCACGCGGTGGCACAGTCCAAGGGAAAAAAGGCAGAGCAAGGGGGAGGGAGCCCCACAGGACGGGCCAGGGAAAGCACGTACCGACTCGGCGAACTCATTGTTGACGACGGCCCATGAGAGGGCGGACTTCCCGGTCCCGGCTGGAGGAGGGGAGGGGGGAGGAACGAAGAGAAGGCGGCAACACAACCGAGCAGCATGTTAGACAGCAGGCCATGGTGCAAAGGAAGAGAAGCCGGCGAAAATGGGCCCGGAGCCATGGAGCGAAGGGGGCACACGCACTGTCACCGAGGAGGACGATCCGCAGGGAGCTGGGGAACATGTCGGCGCACACTCAGGGGGAGGGGGGAGGGGCGACTGCGAAGGGAGAAAGGCAGACAAGAGACGAGGATGAGCGGCAGGAGCAGGGGAGCCGAAGACAGACAGGAGCGAGGGGGGGGGGAGGGGAGGGGGACGGCGACGGGGGAAGAAGGACGCAGTCTCTCTCGCTCACACACACACACACACACTCGCTCTCACTTGGCAGAGCGGGGAGGGGGAGAGGACAGGAAGGAGGGACACGGGGGGGAGAGGGGGGAGGGGCGCACAGCGAGGGGGGACCGTGGCGGTGTGGCTGGCCACCCGGAGGGCCCGGCCCCGGGGCCCGTCCTGCCGGTGCCTTTTAGTGCCCTGCCGTTACGAGTGGCCCGGCCCCGGGCCCATATGTGCCGCGGTCTCCCCCCCCCCCCCCCCCCCCCCCCCCCCCCCCCCCCCCCCCCCCCCCCCCCCCCCCCCCCCCCCCCCCCCCCCCCC